CTATCCATTACTTCACCATGCCTCCTCCAAATATCTTAGTGGATTAAATTGTTAAGAACTAGATGAGATATTTCTGGCCATAGACAGTGAAATAAGAACCATTTACCCTCATAAATTCAATACAGAATTCACTTCAAAATTCTTTGAAGGTCATCTGGATAGACAATCACCTGATGAAGGCCAGAGAGCATTATTGCTGAAACGTTGGTAGATGTTATTTCAGTTGAATCTGGGGAAGTGACTCTGTTCATTTAGATAATTTTCATTGGAGATCATAATTTCTCATGTGAAATCAGTTAAAAGAGACAATTTGTGTCATTCATCTTTGACAAGTTGCCTCAAGCCATGTTTTCCCCAAGTGGCAAAATAATCCTTCATAGTCAGGATCACGTCATGTTGTTGTCTTTAGTGCCATTAAGTTTGAAGAGTCAAGAAAAAAGAAATGGATTCATTTTCATGAAATTCTGACAGAGCTTTTCAGAATTGTATCGTTTTGATGCCAGTGATCTTTGGAAAAAAAAGAAAGATATGTTTCTGTGAAAGTGAAGCACATATAGCTAAGAACCTTACAACGGAAAAAGAAAGAAAAAAAATGCAAAAGAGTAAATAGGAAAAGAGTAAATAGAAAAAGTTTAAATTAGAAGATGAAAGAAAAACAAAGAAAAAAAGAAAGAAAAAACAATAAAAAAGTAAATGAAAGAAAAAGAAAAAAAATGATTTTTAAAATTTGCAAAGAGAAAAGAGATTCATGATGAAAGAAAGAAGCAAGGAAAAAAAGACATACAAATCTGAAAAATAAAAAATGTAAATTGAAAAGAAAACACAAAAATCAAGGAAAGAATGAAATGTAAAAGACCAAAATGCAAATTAAAAGGAAAAATAAAATAAAAAATAGGAAAGAAAGAAATTGAAGCAAAATGAAGAAAAGAAAAGAAATAGAAATTAAAGGGAAAATACAAATAATGAAAGAACAAAGGAAATGAAAGAATGAAAATTGAAAGAAAACAAATGCAAATTAAAAAGAAAAATAAAGAAGAAAAAAGAAAAGAATTAAAAGTAAAAAGAAAGGGAAATAAAGAAATGCAAATTAAAAGGAAAAATATAAAGAAAGATAGCAAAAGAAAAAGAAATTTACATAAAATGGAGAAAAAAGAAATATAAATTGAAAAGAAAGTAAAGAACAAAGGAAAAGAAAGAAATTAAAAGAAGAAATCTAACAGAAAAATACAAGGACTCCATTTTCATATTTTTATCTTCATACTGAGAAAAGAACAAAAAATGTGGGGGGGATTAAAAATTCAAGAGAGCCACTTAAAATTTTTATAGAGAAAAAGTAAAAAAAAAAAAAAATGGATTTATTTATTTGAATGAAGTTAAAATGAGAGACTAGCATGAGCAAATAATCTAAAATTCCCTATATTGCTTTTAAATCTTTATATTCTGCAATTTCAAAAAAAAAAAAAAGAAAAACTGAACAAGCAGGAGACACACAGTGAAGTCAATTAAGTCTGTTGACAGCAAGTTTTATGGAATGCAGTTATAATTCTTAGTTTCCATGTTTATTTCATGCTCATAAAATTAAAAATCATTACCACCTTAGCATGTTTTCCTTTAAATTTTGTTGATGAGATGAATTGTTATAAATCATTTCACCCTTTTATTTAGGCTTTAAAAGATCCTTGGTAAATTCATATATTCATGTTTGTGTGTATTTTATATGACTTTATTGTAGATATCTCTTTAATCACTTATAAGAACTAGCAGGGGACACAAGATTAACGTTTAAGGTGATGACAAATATTCTATTTGTGAATCTACTAGCAGAATTTGGGAAAAAGGTTTCAGTTTCTAACAATGCCAAGAATAAATGAGAAAATGAAGTTGTATATAAGATAAATAGCAACAGTATACTCATGTATCAATCATTAAGAAAATGTGTGGAAAAGGGTATTTACAAAAAATGAATAAAATGCTTTTCTTTTTTTTAAATGTTGTTTAGTGTTCACAGTATTAAGTTTGGCTTTAACACATATTTTGTAAAAGTCTATTTTAGAAATCAATGAAAGTTTTTTTTTAGTGTTAATGTTTTTTTGAGAAAATAGCTTCCAAAGTTTTTTTGATCCCCACCAACTTCCAGAAGCGATATCTATCATCAACTGGTGGTGACAGCTACTATCTTGTGTGCATACTATTCTTTTTGGGATTTTCCAAATTATATATATATATATATATATATATATATATATATATATACACTTTATTTTCTAACAATGAGATGCTTCATGAGAAATAAAAATATATTATAGCATACTATAAATGTGATTTACACATATCATAATTATGGTCACATTGCCATATAATGGTGACAAAATTAATTCTGCAAATATTACTAATATTCCAATTGAATCAACACATTTTTTCTTGATCTTCATTTTTTATATCTCTTAAAAATTTATAAAACATTCACATTGAGAGAAGCAGAGTGCCAAATGCATTTTCCCAAAGTTTTCACATCAAGCCACTGTCATTGCTTTATATAGAAATATTAGTTTTTTTATTGATTTGTTTTCTACAGATTATCAACTCTTTGCAAGTTATTTAAAGTCACAAAATATTTTTAGATAGTAAAAATTTATTGGAGAGATAATGATTTAGTGATACAAGTTTTACTAATTAACCCATAGCTGGGGGAAAAGAGGCAGATTAATACCTTTCCCAAGGGTATCTGTGTAAGTGAATATAACGAACCCAACTGGAAGTGGAACTTGGCTCTCCAATTAACAATTCCGAGTCATCATCCATCACACCATATGCACATCCAAGCTTACAGTGCCTGGTATTCCCAAGCAGTTACCCATCTAGGTATTGACCAGACTCTGTGTTGCTTAACTTCAATGATTGTACTGGAACCGGCATTTTGATGTATAATGGCCATAAGGCCAGAGCTATTAATTCAATTGAATGACCCAGTGGAAAAATTCTGTGTACCCTGTTTTGTCCTCAGTAAGGATTTCATTGGATTAAAGCAATGTTTTTTATTATTTTTACTTTATTCCAATAAGTATCTGACTTCTTTTGCTATCCTCTACCTTCACAAGAACCAGATCAGGCCAAAAACAGAGGACTGTTGTTATATTTGAACCCTACTATAAAAAAGAAAAATAGAAACGCTCTAAAGGACAAAATGTGTTACACAGAATTTTCCACTGTATCATTCAATTGCCTAAAATTGAACATATATAGACATTTATAAATCATATTCTCCCATATATAAATATGTATTGTGTGATAATATAAACATCACCAGTATCTGGAGATAAGGTACCAATATTCATGTGTACTAAATATTGTTTACATTTCAAACACAGAGGCTTTATTACTTTGCTTGGGGTGAAATGATTAAAAAAATATAGGAGAACTGATATTACATAGAAGTTTAGTACTCTTTCCTTTGTTTCTAATAAAATTTTATTTCTTCTTAATACTTTGTTCAGCTTTTTGATGACATTTTCTGTTATTCCAATATGCCTTTGAATTTTGGTGCTAACTGAAAATAATTGTCCAGCATATGAGTTCAAGGCCCAAAGAAAAAAAATCCGATGCGAGTACCCAAAATAACTAAATAAAAAGCTCAATACAATGAGTAAAGCAGACCTAGTTAAACCTAGAGAGCCAGACAAACCTACCACGGTTTCACCTAAGCGGATTGTCAGGGAAGGCCGGCTCTATAACTATATATATATATATCTCTTTCATAATTTACCTTTGTAACGCCCCTATGAGACAATACCTGTAACTGAATGAAATGGTAATAAAATAATCTCAAATAAGTGTGTGTGTGTGTGTATATATATATATATATATATATACACACACACACTGATTTGAGATTACTTTATATATATATATATATATATATATATATATATATATAGAGAGAGAGAGAGAGAGAGAGAGAGAGAGACACACATTTATTTGAGATTACTTTATTACCATTTCATTCAGTTACAGGTATTGTCTTACAGGGGCAGATACAGAGGTAAATTATGAAAGAAAATCAGAGGACCTTTAATTTACCTATGCACTCTTGAAAGGGCATTTAGGATAATGGATATGAATGCAAAGAGAACCTCTTTCCATATTCATGGATATCCATGCTTTTATATTCATAAATAAAAACCTATATGTGATGTATAAATATATATTCACTCTTATATTCTCCATTACCTACATTCACATACTTTCAGATATACATAGACACAGATACATTCTCACAAATTCAGTTTATATTTTCTTATAAACACTCACTGCCACAAACACATTTCCATTTAGCATAGATTTCTATACATAATCTTTAATTCACAGGCTTACCATTCTAGAAACTGTATTCTTTTTCTTATCCTTCTTTACAGCCCTTTGCTATTTAATTTTTTGTCGTTTTTATCATTTCTTGTGTCACTTTCATTTTTGCTTTTTGCAACCTACTTTTCTGTAATTTTCTGAGTATTTTGCCACTATTTTTCTTTCTTTCATTTTGTGCGTGAATGTTTTAGGTTAAACAAATTGAACTCAGGTTTAATGGTGCATATCAGCGCCATTTTGAAATACTTCGATCCAAGTTGATCAAGTACCTGGCAAGAAGAAGAAGAAGAGATAAAAGTTGATTGGGTGGGTGGCAGGGTTCGTATGTGTAGGAGACACTATAGTATTGGCACCAGTGATAATGATTTTGCAGATAAAGAGATGTGGAAGGAACTTTGTCATTACAGGAAGATTTTTGACTAAGTGCTGATGAGTAGGAGAGAAATAAAAAAGGAAGAGAGAAATGAAAGAATGATGTGGAGAAGAAAAAAAAGAAGAAAAAATGAAAAAAATGAAAAAAAGCAAAAAAAGCGAAAAAAGAAAAAAATGAAAAAAAGAAAAAATGAAAAGAATGAAAAGCACACAACAGAAGAAAGAGTTAAAAATAAATGAGAGAATGAGTAATGAAGAAAAATAATTTAAAGGAAGGAAGAGGAAAATTTAAAGGAAAGGAAGGTAAGCTGTAAAAGAGAAACTGAGGGAGAAAGAAGAAAAAGATAGAAAATTGTTAAGATAAATTTCAACAAAAAATGAAGAAGAAAAAAGAAAGAAGCAAAAAAATAGAAAAAAAGGTTTAGATAAGAATTAAAAAAAAAGAAATAATTAAAAGTAAATAAGAGAATGAGTGACAGAGAACTGAAAATGGAAGGCAAAGAAAGAAAGAAAGAAAAGAAGGGGAACAATTAGGAAAATGAAAAGGAATGGAAGATGATTTACAGAAGAGAAACTGGGAGAGAAAGAAGAAAAGATAGAAAAATGTTAAGAGAAGTTTCAACTGAAAAAAGAAGAAAAGAAAATGAAAGAAGCAGGAGATGAGAAAAAAATATGAAAAAACAAGAAGTTAAAAAACAACTATGATTTTAAAGAAATTGAAAAAAAGATTGCAAGAAGGAAAGAAAAATAAGATAAAAGGAAAGAACTTCTAAATTTACAATTAACAATGTTCTTTTATTCAAGGTTTGTTTTATTATGAAGTTCTACCTGCAATGCTAACGAACAGAAAATGGAACCAGCATGTAGAGTTCGGTATTTATCGACCCACCCACGAGGATTGAATACGGCACAAGGTCGGTTTAATGTGGGTATCCCTGAGCCCGTAGGCTCAGCCAAAAATATAGCCTTTGAACCCGCCTAGACGGGTTCAGGCCCTGTCTACCTCCCCGGACGAAACCTTGCCCTTCGGCAAAGCTTCATCCGGGTTCCTCTCTGCTAACGCAGAGAGTTCGACCAGCATGTAGAGTTCAAACCCCAAATGAGGCAGTTTATACTCATTTCACAATGATGCCCTTACAAAAGGCACAAATGCATCTTTTATATTCTCAATCAACTTTAGGTAAATGTTATACCTTACCTATAGATGATAATGGGTATGTCCCAATTCCTATAAATACAGTGGTATATACTGTATATTGTCTTCCGCTTTGGGTTCACTTCCAGCTCACCACTAGCAGTTGATTACTCACTACACACCACTGGTAAATCTTATATATTATTTCTGTAATAAATATCATAATTCCATTTCCAACCTTCATTTTGGTTATTCTTATTCAGTAACATTTTCCTAGGTCACAACAGTAAAATATCAGGGTAGACTAGACCCTTGAGCCTTGATTTGCAACTAGGAGTAGGAGGGTACTGAATTTACTTCTCCTACCAACAGGGGTCAAAAACAGCAAAAAGTAGAGTGTGGGCTTACAATTTCACCCTGTACTTGCTAAATTATGATCAATGTGTAAGCTGAAGAACTGATTAGATTTAGGATTACATAATATTCAAGGGAATTTGAAAAGCATGCACTAACCAAATGTAGTGTAGACTTTTGTAGCGACCCTTTGTGAGCAGCAAACTTACTGAGGTAATGTGTAATCAACCCAAACAACTACATTGAATGAGAATTAGGTGTTAGAATAAGCACTTTCTGTTGCTACTTTTCTGCATAATCAAAACATATTACTTGCTACTGTTGAGTTAATAAGATTCTTTAAAATGGGGGAAGTTTTTTTTTTTTTTTTAAACACGGTTAAAATTTTTTCTGGAGTGGTTATTTATATATCCATTTGTCCAATGGTTTTTCTTACATGCATACATATTAGGTGCAGCTTTAGCAACAGTTGGCTAACACTGACAACAGGTGAATTGCAAATCTCCATTCTCAATTGGGGCCACCTCAGGTCAACTCTGCACCAGGCTTCCTTTGATGGTCTGGAGTGAAATCGAATGCTAAGCCTATTTTGGCATAATATCAAAATGATTCCACTAAGACATATGAATAATATTACTACTAACTACTAGTGTAGTAAATGTAAGAGACATAAAATTAAAGAAATACAAATAAAAGAATTGGGACAAATTGGGTAAGATATTCAAATAATATTACAAGTGTAATAAAAAGCAAGAGAAATAAGATGAGAGAAATATTAGTAAAAAATTAAAAATAACTGTCAATGCTTTTACTATTTTATGACAGTTTAAAGCTATTATTACTGTATATAGGAACTATAGCAGTAAGATGAAAGAAATACTACTAGTTAAAAATTAATAATTTACAATATTTTATCTAAAAAATTTAGACAAATAATAGTCTGAAGCTGTTTAAATTTCTTGGGGCAATACTTTTGTTTTTATGAAAATAACCAGATAATTATATGTTCTATGACTTATTTTATTAATTTCAATTGGTTTTTCTTTTTATCTTTTCATGCTGTTTCTAACAGTGTTGCTTCAATCCTTTCACATTTTACAAGTGTTAAGTAAACAGAGTGAAACTCAAATAAAGACACGGACTCTGAGAATATTGGAATTACATCCCACATCTTTAAGAGACCATTAAATATCACGAGAGACTGCTTCTTTATTTCTGAAACATAACACTTATTTAATCATTATAGAATGTTAAACAACCTGATTGCAGTAAAAAGTTAAAAAAAAGAAAATCATCAAAAATTGATAATAAAGAAGTTTGTGGATTCTTCATAGACATATTCTTGCACAACAATTGACCAATAGTAGGTGACATGAAAAACAATTAGCAACTAACCAGAGAACACTTTAAAAAAAAAAAAAAAGAAAAAAAAAGCCTAATAATCATGCCTACTTTTCAGAAGAAGAAAATTAGCTTGAGTAAGTTTGATTTTAGTGGATGTATTAGAGAAGACATTATATGTTTTTTTCAGATAATAATTAACCAATCAAATGTTTCTATTTAGTTTTCAAAACTCCTAATCCTGGGAGTTAATCTAAAAATAAAAATAAAAGCTAGCCGGTAGCATGAAAACATTAACAATTTGTTTTTTTATGGATTATCAACCTTTTGCAGGTTATTTAAAGCCAAAAATATTTTTAGTTTGTAAGAATTTTTTTAAGATAATAATGATTTACTGATACAAGTCCTACTAATTAAACCATAGATGGGGGGGGGAGGTTGACTCATACCTTTCCCCAATGGTATTTTGCATGTAAATAAATGCAATGAATGTGACTGGGATAGGGACTCTGAGAGCTAATTTGTAATTCCGAGCTGTTATCCATTACACTACCCACACAGCCAATTATCTGGTATTCCCAAGTGGTCACCTATTTAGATTCTGACCAGGCTTAATGTTGCTTAACTTTGGTAAGAGTATGAAAACTAATTTTTCACTGTGATTTGACTTTAAGGCCAAAGAATCTTTGAAGAATTCAATTATTTCATTGAGTTTATTCCTGATAGGTGTCAAGAGACATTGAAAGATGTAATTCATAGACACATCCATTTAGGATCAACCATAAGTGATGACTGGCCAGTTTATAGTACTTAATTAAAATCTGATCACAAAGTGATTATATAAATTTTTTATCAGTAGATGAATCAGAAACAATTGGTTTAATTTAAAAAGATTTTTAAAAGAGAGGGGAACATTCTGAACCTGACCCCAAAATAAATGGGATTATATTTTTGAGGAGATATTCAGAAAAAAAATACACAAAGTTTATGTTGTAGAGTAGTTTCACAGTGGAGGCTTGTATTTCACTAAGTCAATCCTAAAATAGGTTCAACATACAAAACATTAGGAACTTGATATAATAGGTAATGACACAGTAATCTAGTTGTGGTGGCTGATACTTTAATATCCGACTAACGGTCGTCCGACATCGACTGACTCACCAACTCACTGAGCGACTGACTCAGTGAATGCTACTACTCCTACTTATTATAGGTGGGAGAGTCTATTAACAATAGAATAGGTGTGTTCCAGTATAACAGTTTATTAACAATTTGATCAGAGAAATGAACAAATTTCAAATTTTACACACATGTCTCAGCACCACCCATTCTAGAGTTTTACCACATCTGATTAAGAAAGGACATTTATACTGAAAAATAAAAATTTGTTGATTAAAATAAAAAGATTTTTGTCTTCATCCTGGGGACTTATTGATGTTATGTACATAATTCTGGAAATATATTTGAATATACTTAGTTTTACTTATAAGAACTGCTGTTATTTCATTTGGTCTGATAGGAAATTAATTTCATTACAATATCTTAGATGAGACATCTTAACAGCCTTTCACAATAACACTTAAATGTCTGTAGTGTAAATCATGTGCTTCAGGCAGTTTTGAAAAGCTTATGGTAAATAGTTGATCTTCTGTTGTTGAAGCCCACATCATATGTTTGTAAATAAATACTTACGAATTTAAAATGTTGAAATATTCTTTTATGTGTGTGTGAGAGAGAGAGTGTGAGTGTACATATGAATATGAGCCATATTAAACATGAACATTGAAAATCTATGTTAGATCTTTCTGTGTTGAATATGCAAATTACTTATTTTCCCATTACTGTATTTCTTATCAATCTAGATATTACTTTTAATGGGTACATGTGTTTGAGTAGATATCATCCTTTTTTTTTTTTTCAGATAGTGAAATTGATATCTATTAGCCAAGAAGCTGGAGCTGACTCTATGGCTGAAATGGTAAAAGCACACATGGAATAAATCAGTATTGTGTATTTCATCTTTTTATGGTGGTGAAATACATAATGAATTATTATGTATTAACCAAAGTGCATCATATAGAGTTATTTCGGAGACTATCATATTTATTTTGTAGCACTATTTATTTCAGAAATTGAATGTTACTAAATATGTCCATATTTCTGAGATGGGTTATTGTAACTATTTACACTATTTACATTGTTTGGACTCTTGTACTCATCTTTGTTGCCATATTCACAGCTTTTTGTCTGTTGTACACTCCAGCCTTCCTCAGGTGATATACAGTGTAACCCGGATATAAGAGAGTTGTCGGGACCGGAGAAGAAGTCTCATATATCCGGGTTTCTCTTATATCCGGGTTTGGTCTATTTTATATACATTGACACAGGCTCTAATTTGGGACCAGAGAAAATCTTTCTTATATCCCGGTTTCTCTTATATCCGGGTTACACTGTATATTGGAATCTAAAAAGAAATCCTTTATTGAGTCCACAGGGTATATTGTTATAGTTCCATGGCTTTTCAGGATATATCAGTTTCAGTTAATTCCCTTTATTAACTCAAATCTCCAATATTTTGTTCACTACTGCTATGGCCAGCTATTGAATACACAACTCTTTGGGTCAAGTCATTTTTGGATAAATTCAACCAACACTTATCCACTGGCCCAGTAATAATGGCAACTAGAACAATCTACTATTGTGGACTAAATAAAAGGTTCGGTTCAAAATTCCAATGTATATCACCGGAAGAAGGCTGAAGCGTATGTCTGAAACATCATGACTATAACAATAAAGATGAAGACAACAGTCTGAACAATGTAAATAGAGTAAATAGTTACTAAATTTACTTAAAAAAATATTTGAAAAA